CGACTTTTGCACCTACTAAGTCGTTCGTAGGCCGGCAGCAGCGATAGTCACCATGGTCAACCCCGTAGCTGATGCGGGCGTAGTAGACACCTTGGAGACTCGATTGGCTGATGTGAGGAGACGCCACGCGGATGGCGAGTACGGGACGATCCCCTTGCTGATCGTCGAGTTGGGCATCGGGTCGTAGTGGGCGACGGAACACCCTTCCCGTCCTGCTTCTCCTCGACCGGTGCGCAACGAAGGTGGCGTCGACGACGAGGTCGACGGTGGTGCACGAGTCAGCGGCAGCGAAGGCACGAGGCAGAGAGGGGTGATCAAGGTCGACGGTGGTGTCGACGGAATCCATGCGCGAGTGCAGCGGTCGATGACGGCTGCAGGCAGCTCGCGTGCCGACGTCGATGTTCGACGTCGCTCTCCTCTACGAAGCGGTGGAGGGCGCTCGGCGACGACGCATGTGACGGCGGGCGGGATTGCATCGGCGTATGGCTACTTCAAGTTCTCGCCGGACCCGATCACTGTCGCACCGCTGCAAGGTCGACGGGATCTCATCACCTGGAGGGAGTCGATCGAACCTCAGCTGGAGGTCGCTGGGCTGAAGGGCTTCGCTGACGGCACCGTGCCAATTCCGCCCGTGGACGATGTCGAGCTGCGCGGGGAGTTTCGTGCGGCTCACCTGCTCACATTCATGGTCATCTCGAGGTGCTGCTCGCCGGTGGTGCAGCTAGCGCTCAGGAGCTGTCGAGAGCGAATGGATGCTGGTCATTAGGCGTGGCACTTCATCCTGTCGACGTACCAGGTCAGGGACGACCTGTACATCGGACAGCTGGAGGAGAAGATGACACACATTCGGATGGGCCAGCAGGAGTCGGCGACGGACTACTGCAACCGTGCTCGACGGATCCTGGCTGAGATGCGGATGGCGGGCGCCGAATACTCGACGGCGTCCTACATCACCCACATCGTCAAGGGCCTGCCGCGCGGCTACAATCTAATGAAGAGGATGATGATGGTGCCCGGCACGCGTGAGTCCCTCGACGAGGACTCCATCACCAGCTACATCCGTCAAGACGAGGCGATGCAGGAGGCCGAACAGCCCACAGAGCTCCTTCCGCAGGCAAACTACGCTGCACCGACGAAGCTGAATCAGCAGCAAGGGCAGCGCGGGAAGCCGGGCGGAGGTGGTAGCAGAGGTGGGCAGTCGACGAAGGACGTCGACGAGAAGAGGTCGACGCGGGACAAGGGTCGACGAAGTGGTGGTCGACGGCGGGAGTGCTGGATCTGCGGCGACCCCGACCATCTCTCCTTCGAGTGCCCCGACCGCGATGACAGCGACGAGGACGAAAACAAGGGAGGCCGCGGTCAATCGGCCAGTCGTCGCCCCCGTCGAGATGAGAAGCCGCGCAAGGAGAAGCAGGCGTCGAAGAAGACATCGTCGATGAAGGACGTCGACAACTCCAGCGGCAAGGGCCGAGGCGACGGGGATGCGTCGTGCTCGATGGTCGGCGTGGTGGAGCCGACGGTCTCGCTGGCGCCGGAGGCTGGCGAAGACTACCAGGCGGTGGCGGCAGCTGTGCAGGCCAACCTGATGGCGGTGCTGCTCTACAGCGGGTGCTCCCACCACTTGATGGGGACGAAGGCGGTCTTCGTCGTCATGGCGCCGAGCGACGGAGTGAAGCACGTACGTGGTTTCAACGGGGCGCTGCAGCCTGTCGAGGGTCGCGAAACCGTCGCTCTACAAGGGGAGGACAGGAAGCAGGTCCTCATCCCCGACGTGCTCTACGTTCCGGGCGTATAGGTGAACTTGCTGTCAGCTGGCCAACTGAAGGAGAACGGAGTGCAGCTGCAGGGCGACGTCGACGAGATGCTGCTCGTCACCGCGACCGGGGAGGTGCTCGGTCGAGCACACTACACCGTACGAGTCCTCTGCACCGACCTTCGCCCCTTCTCGACGCGGTCGCCGTCGACCGAGGTGGTGGCTCTGCGGACGATCGTCTCGGCGACGGCGTCGACCCCTGACCGGTTGCATGCGAGGCTCGCGCACGTCGGCATCGACACGATCAAGAGCTCGGCGAAGCATGAAGTTGCTGTTGGGCTCAACATCACGCCGTCGACCGGAGCAGACCCGCCGTGTGTCTCGTGTGTCGGAGGGAAGCTGGCGCGGCACACCTTCCCCGACAAGGGCTCGGACGCCGAGGAGGCACTGGCTGTCGTGCACATTGACTTGTGCGGGCCGTTTCGGGTGGCTGCCAAGGATGGCGGCCTGTACTTCCTGCTGCTGAAGGATCGCCATACTCGGTTCGTGTGGGCAATGCCAGTCGCTAAGAAGAGCGACGTGCTGCGGGAGTTCCAGAAGTGGCTGGTGCTGGTGGAACGACAAACGAAGAAGTCGGTGTTATCGCTTCGCTCCGATCGAGGAGGGGAGTTCCTCGGGACGGCGTTCACCGACTTCGTCGACGGGAAGGGCATCGTCCACGACCTGACGTGCCCCTACACTCCGCAGCAGAACAGCATGGCTGAGCGGGAGATGCGCACGGTTGTCGAGTCCGTGCGGACGATGCTTCTGCACATGGGCGTGCAGCACCACTGGTGGCACCTTGCTTTACGACAAGCTGTCTGGGTGCGCAACTACTTGGAGCGGTCGACGACGCCGCTGGGGACGACTCCGTACCAGCTGCTGACCGGGAAGAAGCCCGACCTTACGCTGGCGCGGGTGTGGGGCTGCATGGTGCAGGTCATGGTTCCCGAGCAGAAGCGCGGTGGGAAGCCGGTGTCGAAGGCTCGTTGGGGGCTTCACCTGGGTGTGTCGCAGGAGAGCAAGGGCTGGGAGGTGCTCGACCTGACCGACAACAAGGTGGTCACGTCGGTCGAGGTGATCTTCTACGAGAAGCTGTCGCTGGTGGTGTGGAAGGCGAAGTATGGGCTGGCGTCGGGGCGGACGCAGGCACACCCGCCGACGGACACCTCGACGGCGACGGTTTCGCTGCTCGCTGAAGTCGACGAGCCTGCAGATGATGATGTTGTGGAGGTTCTTCCCCCTCCCCCTGTTCTTGCTCCTCCGTTCCCCGTCGCAGATCGGCCTGTGTCAGCACCTGTGTCGACCACCGACGATGAGGGGAGCCTTGAGGCGTCGCCTGTGGCGCCGGACCATGGCATCGCCGGCGGTCGACAAGGCGCCAAGCTCGTCAACCAGGATGGGAAGCCGTCGACGACAGGGGAGCAGCAGACAGGGGAGCCGGTCGAACAGGAGGCAACAGCAGCTGTGCAGCCGACAGGGGAGCAGCAACCGGGGCGTTCGACAGGGGAGTTGTCGAAGTCAGCGGCAGGCGAGCAGCTGGTCGACGACGAGGACGTCGACGAGGAAGGGGAGCAGTCGATGGGTGAGGAGTCCACCGACAGCGACGTGGTAGAAGTGCCGATCACGAAGCCTGAGCTGCACCGCACAGGTCGAGCTCGACGGCCATCAGAGCGGCTGAGCTTCCACGCCTGCCTACCGCCAGCTGCCTTCACCAGGGTGTACGACGAGGTCGACGACGACCTGTTGTACGACGACGCCGAGGAGGATGAAGACCTGCCGGAGCTCGACCCCGACGTGCATGCCAACCCCGAACACCGCTGGGACATCGCCACGATGACGGTGAAGGAGGCACTGTCGAGCTGGAAGGGCGAGGCAGTGAAAGCCGCCATGGACGAAGAGATCCGCAGCCTCATCGGCATGGGCACTTGGGAGCTGGTCGAACGCCCACGCGGAGTGAACATCATGAAGAACCGGTGAGTGTCAACGACCAAGTACCGCATCGACGACACCGTCGAGCGCGAGAAGGCGAGGCTGGTCGTGAAGGGCTTCACGCAGGTGTACGGTGCCGACTACGACGAGACGTACTCGCCGGTGAGCAGCTACGTCACGCTGAGGATCTTCCTCAGCATCGTCGCCGTCCTCAACCTCAACCTGATGCAGCTCGACTTTCCTGCAGAGCAAGCTCGACATGGTGCTCTACATGTACCAGCCGGACTACTTCGACGACGGGACCGGCCGGGTGTGTAAGCTGCTGAAGAGTCTCTACGGGCTGAAGCAGTCGCCGCTGCTGTGGTACAGGGCTCTCGACAGTGTGTTGCTGGGCACCTGCAAGAAGAAGAGCGAGGTCGACGAGGCGCTCTACTTCAAGGCCGGCGTCCCTCCTTGCCTGCATCCGTGGCCGCCACGTACTTCGACTCGGTCGACGACAGGGGAGTGTTAACGGGAATGGAGTGTTGGCCCCGCCCTCGCTTGGGCAACGCCGACGACTTCGTCGCGACGGGCGACGGGCAGGGCGGCGCGCGGGCCCCCAGGGCGCCGCGACGGGCGACGGGAGGGGCGACGCGCGGGCCCCCAGGGCGTCGCGACGGGCGATGGGAAGGGGGCGACGCGCGGGCCCCCAGGGCGCCGCGACGGGCGACGGGAGGGGGCGACGCGCGGGCCCCTAGGGCGCCGCGACGGGCGACGGGAGGGGGGGACGCGCGGGCCCCCAGGGCGCCGCGACGAGCGACGGGCAGGGCAGCGCGCGGGCCCACGGGGCAGCGCGCGGGTCGACGGGGAGGGACGCGCGGGTCCCCGGGGGCGGCGCGACGGTCGACGCGGGGGGGACGCGCGGGTCCCCGGGGTGACGCGCGAGGCAGTAAACCGCCGCGCGCCTCGGGGGCGGCGCGCGGCGGGCAGAAAACCGCCATGCGCCCGAGCGCGTGGCGGGAAGAAAAAACGTCGCACGCCACGGGGCGCGCGACAGACAGGACAGCAGCGGAAGCAGGTGGGCCCACCAAGAGCGTACTCGCTCTGATAGCATGTCAGAATCCTAGCTAGAGCTTAGTAGCCATGGCTAGGGTTTAGGTTTTACGAAGGAGAAATGAGAACAGAGAAGAGGAATTTCACTAGCAGGCAGTTGAGTACATATAGCAAACCCTAACAGGGCTGTACTCACTATAGAGTACCCCACTGTAGACTAGAGAAATATAACATTCTAACAGCTCTAAGCGTGCTTAAAGAGAAGTATCTCTGCGTACCACACCTCCTCCCCTCCACTAATGGCCACATGGGAGAACCACGGGTTGCCGTTGTGTGACGGGTTTGCACGATTGAAGTGAGTGACCCTGGATTCGTACTCTTGAGGGCTGGAGGGAATTGCCACACCGGTGTAGACCTGCAGGTGGGGGTGGTGCAGCCAAAGAGGAGGCGGAAGTGTTAGAGGAGGGAAGGGGGGATGGGAGGGAGTGTGGCAAGCCAGAGAGGAAACGGAATTGTTAGAGGAGGGAAGGGGGTATGCGAGGGAGTGTGGCAGGCCAGAGAGGAGAGGGGAATGTGCGAGGAGGGAAGGGGGGATGGGAGGGAGTGTGGCAGGCCAGGGAGGAAAGGGGAATGTGCGAGGAGGAAAGATGGGATAAGAGGGAGTGTGGCAGGCCAGAGAGGAGAGGGGAATGTGCGAGGAGGGAAGGGGGGGATGGGAGGGAGTGTGGCAGGCCAGAGAGGAGTGGGAAATGTGCGAGGAGAGAAAGGGGGATGGGAGGGAGTGTGGCATGCCAGAGAGGAATGGGAAATGTGCGAGGAGAGAGAGGGAGATAACATCAAGGGTTTAGGGACAGAAAATAGAGGGAACGGTGAGGGAGTGGGGCATGAAAGAAATGATGGGGAGTGTACGAATGAGTCCTCAAGATTACTCATAGGGAGGGTGGAAGCTGAGATGCCTGCTGTACCAAGGTCTGTCTCCAAAGTGTTGAGACGGCCACTAACAGCAGCGTTGTACAATGCGAATTGGTCAGTGTTGCCTCGGCGATGATTGCTTGCAGCCATGTGTATGACCACATGTGTCCTCAGAAAAACACGTTTTGAAGTGATTTCAACCTGTGGCATGGTGGGGTAGGAAATGAGCATGTGCCTGGTGGCAGCGAGACACAAACAACAACGTAGATCAGAGCACCGCTCCTTGCCAAAAACTGCCACAACACTCATACCTCGTAGAATGCGCAGTTGTAGTCTCTCTCCTCCTTGATGTCACTTTTGACCTGAGCTAGCATGTAGAGGAATTGGTTGCTCTTGATAATCGGCTCTGTCCATTGCCTTCGGTATGGCCGTTCACGGTGATTTTGTGAAAGTGTTCGTACATGTTAGTGGAATACTTCTCCGGCTAACCACCCCTTCGAATGGCATCGGCATAGTACACTACCATGTGCACTTTCACAACCTTCCAGAGAGATGGCTGTGTTGGGGATGCATCCTTAAGTTTGTTGATCATCCTGGGGGGAGAGAAGGGATGGTGATGGTTGTTGAGAGAGATAACATCTACCCTACACACTCAAATCCGAGCTCACCAGTCACTCTGGCCTTACCTACACGCTCAAATCCGAGCTTACATGTCACTCTGGACTTACCTACATAATCAAATCCGAGCTCTACAGTCAAGTGTGGATCTTTTGAAACAAAACAAAAACACACACATGCGTAGGATATAGAGGTGCAGGAAGGGGAGGGTGGGATAAGGATATAGACTAACAAGAGGATCCAGCATAGACCAGAAAATATAACACGATAACAAAACATGAGAGGATTGGGGGCAGTTACATGTGGGAGAGGCGCTCCACATTGGCGAGGCTTTCATCCGTGTGGTAGCAAGGACGAAAGGTTGCCGGAACGCCTGCACTACTTTCAAGTGTGCATCGTCAACAAGGCCTTTAAATATGAAAATGGAAACTTGCATCACGGCTCGGTGCTCAGCCGTAGAGACACGGGCACTCGACTGGAAGTACGTTCCTGGAACGGGAAGATTTAGACCAGCAACGCAGCCATGCTTCCAAAGCCATTTCATGCGCCTTAGGGGTAAGGGAGGAGGGGGAGAATGGGGGGAAATAGGATAAAGAAGGAAAGAGTAAGGCTAACACTGTAGCAAACCAGAGCAAATCAAATAAGCATCAAATACAAGCCTGCCATGCCTTTGAAAATCTCATGCACGGATGGATTGAGGGCAATCCTACCCTGGAATGAAGCAATTGAGCTGTTGTGAACCCAAGCCAGACACGTACGACATGTTATGAATCAGACTTTCCCATGAAGAGTAGGAACCAGGGTAGAAACCCGGACATGCCCGTGATGAAAATAAGGAAAATCAAATTCCCAACTACACTCGCTGATCAAGCATGCCATTTTTTGCATTGGGGAGTGTTTCTATGGCGTCACGGATGTGTGTCCACACCCCAACATCCGCCTGCTGCAGGACGTCAGGCATAAGTGCAAGGTATGGGTTACCCCATGGTGTGTTGGCGTATTTAAAGTCCTAAATGAACGTCTGCATGAGGGTGCAGGTACCTTCATAAGGTATATCTTGGTAGAAAACACACTAGAATAATGACAAACAAAAAAAACTAGGAAAAGGAATGCAGCGAACGTACATGATACGGGAAGGTGGCCCACAGAGAGGCGTAATCCTTTGCCATATTCTTCCCTGCTTTATAAAACATGTTGTACTTATCCTTTAGAAATTGTTGCTCCCTTGGGTTCCGCGTCATATATTTTTGTGTGTCACACTCTTCCCTCAACGCGTAACACATAGAGCAGGGGTGGTTGCTACCATGCTGGAAAGTGCTTGTCACCTTGCAGCTTTCCGGGTAGTCGCAATGATAACTATAGAACAACAGCCTCACAAGGCGTTTGACCCCTGATGGGTCAGACCACACACAAATGATTTCGCTGCATGGGGGCAAAACATTCATTCAGTGTACTGGAAGTATCACAATAGTGAAAATCCAGGGTCTGCTGCTTAGATCCATACCTATTGCTGGCATTGATGAGGGACTGAAGGACGATCTGCATGCACTTTAGGAACAGCTCTGTCTTGACGTGGCTTTTCCATTTAGAATGAGGCAATGGCAGCATTGCCACCATCTGCTTCGCACTCGTCTTCCAACGATGTTCAACAGCGATATTACCGAGTGAGAGGACAACGGGCCAGACCTTCTGTGTATCGTTCTTGCTTAGTTGAGTGACGTCCGAGTATACTATGAGCGCAGCGATGACTTCTTCTTTGATACGTAGTGCCTTCTGTGATAATTATAAGCAATATAGTGCGGCAGGGCGTACAATACAGATGGTGTTTAATCCAAGGAACCAATGCTGCCGAGCTCACCTATCACTCTGACCTTCCTTGAACACTCACCTCCGAGCTCACCTATCACTTTGACCTTCATTAAACACTCACCTCCGAGCTCACCTATCCCTTTGACCTTATTTAAACTCTCACGTCCGAGCTCACAACTCACTTTGACGCTCCCTACACACTCGCCTCCGAGCTTTCTGAGCACTACACACTCACCCCCAACACCGAAGTCCAGCCCTTGCCATCACATTTCAATCACATGGGCATCGAGCCAACAGTTGCAATGTTGGGGGCGTGTATATATCCTCTTCCAATTGCGTTTTTTTTATGCTCGGGTACAGTGCAAATCCTTTTTGGTTGCACCGGTCTTAAAAAAATCGCCTGCACCACCTAAAAAACACAGGTTGAAGGGATGTGGACAAGGTTTCATCTTATTGTAGTCGACACTCTCACCTATCGCTCACAGGGTCACCACCAATAGATTCTCTATAGTGAGAGAGATTCGCTCCCTGTGACCCTACCTTAAGAGTGTCAGTGTATTTCAAGGGCACATAGACGGGTCGGCCATTCTCTAACACCCCTGGGACCTCGACCATTGTCGTCTTCCACTCCAGCGCTTTCGCGGCCCACTTGTCCGCAGCCCACTTTTGCGCATCTTTGATGCTCTGCCAGCCTAGGAGATCTTCAGAGTTCAAGTCGGGGTGGAATAAGATGCGCAAAAACCTATAGAAGATGTTGCTTGCCTACAAACTAACCTACAAAAACTCGCCAGCATGAAGCCAAAAACTCACCCCACACGACACTTGTCCAAAACTATCCTCAGACTTCCCTCTACATTGTTACGAAAACGTTGTAGCTAATAGGATTGAGAACGAACTCGCGAAACGGTAACCTAAACGGCTGGGAAGTCAATCATCGCGAGCGTTCTGCCTTTCAGCAAAATTAGCAACTGTGCAGCAGATGACTACTATACATAGACTTTTGTTTGCCTTATGAAGCTGAATCAAACCTATATCGAGACGTGCTAAATGGGACAAAGTTGATTTTATGCTAGCTTGTCAACTCACGTCATGCAACAGTGCGACACGTAAGCTGTTGCTCTTCAGTATTTTGCTCGTCCTATAGCTAGCTTGCACATCAGACCCATGAAACAACTATCGCTAAGGTTACATTTCGCACGCTTCCCACTCTTCGGGCTCCTTGTCCCACTCTTGGCCTATATTGTTCAGTCCCGCACTTTTCCCAAGCTCAGCAGGCAAGTTGTGAAGAAAGAAAACAGGAATGATGAATGACTAAGGGAAAGTTGGGTACAAAAGCAAACCCTAGAAAACTGTACCCCATATGTGCTACCCCACTATAGCCTACAGTAACTATGTCGTATAAATCTGACACACCCCCATAGGCAAAGTGGGGGAGAACAAGGGGTCACAAGACCAGTCAAGCAAAGCAAAACAAGCTCAAGGTGGATCACAAAGTCACCACACATTCCGAGCACAAGTTCAAGGCCACAAGGCCAGTTCACATGCAGGATTGCATATATATATATATAAGGCTAGACAAGCAAGAGCAGGTGTATATATATATGCAACAGTACAAACAAGGTCAAGGGGTGAGCAAGTGAGGCAAGGTAGGCACAAGACCCAGCTGAGTACAGAAGCGCTGATGATCACAAGGCGGAAGTGCCTTGGTGAAGATATCAGCAGTGTTGGCCTCAGAGGCCACGTACGCAAGCCGCAGCTGACCACGCTGCTGTAGCTCACGAGCAAGGAAGTAGCGGAGAGCAATGTGCTTCGTTCTGTGCTCCAGTCTCTGCTCTCGACACAAGGCCAGCATGGCCTTGTTGTCTACGTACAGCACTGGAGGAGAACGAGGCGGCTCTCCGAGGTCAGTCAGCAGGTAGGTGAGCCAGCGAAGCTCCTGTGCAGCCATGGCCCCGGCGTAGATCTCAGCCTCACAACTGGAGCCGAGAACAGAAGACGAGCGGGTAGCCCGCCACGAAACAGAGCCGGAACCAAGGCTGAAGGTGTAACCCTGTGACGACCGCTGCGTAGCCTGGTCGTCAGCCCAAGAAGCGTCTGCGTGCCCAGTGAGGACCACTGGACTCTGCCCTCCAAGCACAAGCCCCATGCCCGACGTACTGCACAAGTAGCGCAACACCCTCTTCGCTGCAGCCATGTGCTCCAGTCTGTGTCTCCCAGGAGCAACATAGCGTGCGAGAATGCTAAGAGGGTATGCAAGGTCAGGTCGTGTGCAGGTCATCAGGTACATGAGGCAGCCAACAAGCTCTGGGTACGGGCCACTCGACTCTACGGACTCATCCGAAGGCAGAGCTGAGAGCGAGTGGCGAGTAGGCAGAGGAGTGGCCTGAGGCGAGGAGTACGTGAAGCCGAAGCGCTGAAGGACCTGCTGCACCATGTGTGACTGAGTCAGGG